CGCTAGGGTTGAACTATAGAGCGAAATATCCGATATCATTTCGGGCCGCCTCGCTGCAAGGCCTATGGGCGTGGACCTTCCAAAAGCCCGCTTATACAGTGTTGGAGGAATATATGTTTGCTGTCTTCAGCTAGTAGGTTCAGCTCGTGGAGTTTATATACGAAATCGGGTAGAAAGTGAAAATTTCCATATATTGTTGCCGACATATGTAGTTGATGAAGTGCATATTTCCCGTCACACTGGTTGTGTATCAGATTGCAGCCACTTTGTGGGCGTGGTTGCTGAAGTCTAACAAACAGTTCAAGAAAGTTCACTTTGGTATTTTAGCTCATACTCTGGCGAGCGTCGCGAAGATTCATCGTCAAGTTGGTGAGTCCGTCCGTGAGAAATCGGCCGCTTGCAGTTTTTTTGAATAAAAAACAAAATGATAATTTAATAAAAAATTTTGATCTTAATATTCCGAAGCTCGGGAATTTTTCGGGTTTTAATCATAGAAATTTAGGAAAAATATAGGGAAAAAAATTTCTAATTTGTATGATTATAATCATTAGAGTTGAGAACACAGTGTAGAGTGGCTTGAGCTCAGAGGAAGGGGTATCGATCGATATATGGGCTCACGTTGCTGCCTTGCTTAACGTGGAAGTGGCTAATGGAGCGTTGGAGGAAGTTGATAACTACACTCAATTGTAAGGGGATGGTTTGTTCATAGAGAGGCTTCATGAGTTTCGGAGGCAATTCACTGTGTTGTGGTATGGTCAGGAAATTACTGGTTTATGAGTTTATTCGTATTTGATTTGTTGATGATTTCACGTATGTGCTAGCCTAGCTTAGCTGAGGCGGATTGTCGGCAGTGATCTCGCACACTTTCTGTGCGACCTTGAAAAAAGTTTGAAAATTCTTTAGAGTTTCACCACCCTAGTGATATGAAGAACATCAGTGAAAAACATATTCCACGACTACTGTATATCATCGCGAATATCGCATTCTACACCGAGTTTTACGCCACTTCGCGTAAAACGGGTTGTGAAACTTCTTTGTATTCAGATATCGTGTGAAGGAATGGTGGGAATGTGTGAACAACGATATTGCTGAAACCGGGAAGATCCTCATTCGAGTTGCCCACCCAGAGATGACACTGTTACTTGACGATCTCGTAAACAGATGAACTCATGAGATTTCTCATTGTTTGCATCATCTTTCAGGTGACGAAAGATTTTCCTAGGTCATGATGTTTTTATCATTATGTGTAGATGTGTTTCTGATCTCACTTGGATTTGTGTACGCGAGTTTTAGTGTGGCGTGCCTTCGTTTATTGGGATTCCTGTAATTGGCATTGTCAAGTGCAGTGTTGGAGGAATATATGTTCGCTTTCGTGGCTGAGCTCGGAAGGGTCCTTGTTCATTATAGGTTTTATGTGAAGTGGCGTAATACTCTGTGGAGGACGCGATATTGGCGCTATGCAGTAGTCGTGAAATCCATTTTTCACTAGTGTTTTTTTCATATCACTAGGGTGAAACTCCATTGTATATGGGCTGTTGACAATAGATATATAAATTAGTGATTTATATAATGAAGTTTAATCCGTTTTACGTGAAGTGGCGTAAAACTTGGTGAAAAGCGCGATATTCGCGGTGATATGCTGTGGTCGTGAAATATGGTTTTTACTAGTGTTTTTCATATCACTAGGGTAAAATTCCAATATATGTCGTAGATATATTACACATTATTCTTTTATTGGAGTTTCACCAGTGAAATGAAAAACGCTAGTAAAAACACATCTCACATTTCACTCCGCGTAAAACGGGTGAAACTTCATTATTAGTAAACTATGTTAAATACCTAACACCGTTTCTGCGTAGTTTCGTGAAGAATCGTTACCGAATTTTTCATCGCAAATTTCTCACACTCGGAAATATTTCACAAGTCTTTTTCTTTTTTTGCCTTTCCTAAATATGAGTTGGCTCAGCAACTTACTGCAGTGGTGCTGCGGACCTGATGACGAGTCGAAAGAAAAAGCTTTGGAGTTTGAAATCGATCGAGACGAGGCGGATGCTGTTGTGGCAGATGAGGTCATTGACGTCTTGAATAGTGTAGATGCAACTTTTCCCAAATTTTTTTTGCGGAAATTTTGTAAAAATTTTATCGAATTGATTGTATTTTTACGAAAATATTTTCCTCAGGAAAATCTGAGAAGAGAAAAATAACAATAAAATTATTAGTTTTGGGAAATTGGCTTTTTCTCGAATCTGAATATCTGTCGTGAAAGTAGACGTCTGCGAGTTCCGTAGTGAAATTTGCGACATGCAATTTGGAAGGCTACGAGTTGATGGAAAAATGGGAAAAATTCGCCCAAAATTTACCGAATTTTCTTGTAAAAAAATTACGGAATAACGCTGTATAACGTGTTAATATCGTATTTTGATCGATGTGTTTAATTCTGAGGAAAAATTCTCAAATTTTTTGTCCTCAGTTTTCCCCCTACTCCATGCAGAGTTCAAGTGAAATTCTCGAACAAGATTTGGAGAGCAATGACCGCGCGCCACGAAATTCCCTCGAGCATCAACTACATAGCCCCTCAACTGCCGCCTCAACTGCACAGCAAAAAAAGCAGCGCCTTGCTGGCAACGATTACACACTTACGAGAAGGTAAGCTAGGGCCACTTGCAATCTTGCATTTCCTCAACGCCTGGGTGGAGGCGGCAACAGTAGGAAAATATGCACATGGTCAACTACACGTGTTTTGATAAAAATGAGGAAATTCTTGCTGTTTTGCAAACATTTCTACCCGTTCGTGGACTGCTATAATATAGTTTTGGAAACTCCTCAGCTGAGGAAAGTAACATATATATATATAATTGACATCTGAGAATGAGACGAAATTCCTCAGGGTTTTCCATCCTGCTAAGTTATGTTTAATATCGGTCATCATTCAGGTTTGCATTAAAACTGTTAACTTTCTGGGCTGCGTTTTTTATAGGTCCTCGAGATTCGCAATTTCCGAAACGGGTTTACGGAAAAGGTCCGAGCCGGCGACGTACGTGCACGCAATTGAGAGTTCGTATAGTTAAAGTGAATTATATTAAAGATATCTTTGGGTTGCTCACGCAAGATACAAAATAGGCTAAGATTTGTACTGGTGTCGGTTGGCGAGGTCCCTGGCACTAATCCCACAACTGTTGTTTATTCTAGATGTTACTGTGTCCATAAAATTCTCTATAAATCGCTCTGTGGGTTTGAGTTGTTATCAGTCACTCAGGACTCTGCTTTTTTGCCGTGCAGTTGAGACGGAAATATTTAGCTGATGCTTGGGGGAATTTCGTGGCGCGCGGTCATTGTTCTTCGAGATTTGTTCAGTTCTGATGGTACTGAGTTCATAGAAATCTTCATCGTTATTTTATGGGTTCTGGAAAATGTTGAAATCTTCGCTGTGCGTGAAGAGGCGTATCCAAATTGGAATTTATCATGAGGGAAGTTACCTATTTGTTAGAGCACATAAGTGGCACCTGTTCATGAAAAGGGCGGAAAAATTGTTGGAAAAATACATTGGAGTTTCACCCGTGATGTGAAAAACACTAGTGAAAAACACATTTCACTTCGCGTAAAACGGGTGGAACTCCATTAAATGCTGGCAAGTGTTGATGATATCAGTAAACTAGGCGAAGAAGGTTATGAATCGATTCTTTTTCGTGCTGAGATGAGCCAGAAAAATGCATTTTTTCCCTCTGATTGTTACGGCTCGGACGACAATATTTTTACGATGTAACAGTCATGAACAAGAGCCGGTAGGGTTATGAGATGTAATTAACAAATTATGCCGTTGACATGATATCCACTCTCTAGGTTGCGCGTACTGTGTGAGGTTGAGAATCATCGTTAGGTGTAATATGGTTGCCACTCTTGCTACCTTTAAGATTGTAGTACAGATGGGTAGCGTGACTCGCTTTACGGCATGCGTAACGTAAGCAGTTTACGGTTACGGGAAGGCCTTACGACTTTACGGTTGGTGCTGATTCAGCACTGCTGAACTGCTTTTCTAGAACTGTGGCAGAAACATTCGCTGTAATTCACTCCACCATAGCTCAAACAGTTGTTAAACTCATTCTTCGTGGCTCGGATCCAACCGAACCGCTGAGAGAGTAACATTAGGTTTCGCATTTACCACTCGTCTCTTTTGCAAATTCCGTCCGTCTTACTCCCAGGCTAGCCCGGAACTGCCAAGCCGGCTTCGTCTACCGATGGGCATTCACATGAAATAGATTTAGGCGACTCGAATTATCAATCCTGGTTTTGTCCTCTGCATCTCCATAAGACCCGACGGGCCTGGCCCGTTACGGCGCCGTAATGTTACGGTACGGGATTTGAATCGTTACGTAAAAGCGAGCAACGTAATTCTGCCAATCTGTAGACTGTACTACCTAGCTCACCATCACTATAGGGCTGTATATGTGTTATGATAGCGCTGCTATCATAACAACATTTTGAAGCTATGGCATTATGAAGCTTCTGTAGCCTCTATAAGGGAAACACACCCCACATCGCAGTTCTCACTCGGCGAAAGTGGGCCAAAAGTTGGGCGAAAAATTAATGAGTTTATGCGAAACTACGAGGAGAAGTGGGCTAAAAGTTGATGTAGAATTCAGTAGAAGTACTGGGCGGCGATGCTGGGAGTGCTCACATCGTCACGAGCGAGTTCAGTCGCTTTTCTTGAGCACTGTCGCCACTTTAGTTCAGGTGAAGCCCCTCGGAAATTCCGATTCGGAAGCATTAGCAACTTGGAAATATTTGTAGCTGCATTAATCAACATCTTTCGTGACGGCTATGCGCACTATCACCAAACGCAGTGTTTGGGTTTATCGCTCTATCACATCGAAACCCAAACCCCAACATCATGATTCACCCGAACTTCACAGTGACTGTAAAGTGTAGAGTTCCCGTTGGGTGGCCTATCCGCTAGCGCTGGACGCGTATACAGAACGTATGAGAGTGTTGTAAATCATGCATGACCAACGGTCGACGGTCAACTCTTCAGATGCTCCGAATTCGCCATCGTAAGGAAAGCTCAGCAAAGTCCAATCTTGAGGATAAACACTCGCATGTGCTGCTTGTATCAGATCGAACAGCGAGCAAGGGGCCATAGAAATACCGTCATCGACTTTCGGAGAGCTGCTTTCTAAGTTCCGATCGTTAGATCAAGACTCACAGGCTAAAGTGAGTCTATAAGAATCCGCCATGAGTACCCTAGGTCGGGGAAGAAGTTTGCAGAAACTTTCTGTGAAAGTTTCAGCAATCTACAGAATTGAATGCTCGCCATCAACTGTTGGTGATGAGCATTCAATTCTGTAGAATACTTTCAGAGATACCATCGCAGAAATGACGAGTTACACGTCGGTCGAAAATTGAGTTTGTACACTCGTGCGTTGTGAGATGATACATTTTCATTCAAAATGTATCAACCGTTCGAACTTTAGTTACAGCAAATGAGAGAGGCTATGAATAGCAGACGGAAAAACGCATCTCGAGAAGTGAGCAAGACTCTCCCAATGGGCATTGCCGAATGATGTTTGCTACTTCAGGTAGCAGCATTAGTGGCCTCAATGGTGCCATACGGCGATAACGCCTCCCAATTACGGTGAGATTAATCAACTTCAGCGATACGTTCGCCAGAATAAATTCATTCAAGTTGCTTCGTAGAGCTTAAATTCCATCTCACTGGTGCAAGCGTCTAGGTTAGAACCTCAGCCGCTGAAGAACCTCAGTAGATTCTTACGCTGTGTAAGAATATTCTAGGTCAGTAAAATTGACGTGTATTCCTCGTACGATTAACGAAATTTACTCGTAGATCGAACAACTGAGTTGACATATAAAACTTGACGATACAAAAGACAGTCCTTTGAGAACTTGGCTTACTGACTCAGTGATACTGAGCTGTAGTGCCCCTATTTGATATTCAGTTGCTGCTAGTCCAACTGTTCGACTCCAGCATTGCTAGGTTCACTTATGGACTGGAGACTATAGTGGAAGAGCACCGAAAGAAAATAGAAGACGTTGAACGAAGAGTGAGTTGATCTTTGAATTCGATTCCTGTCGTTATTCACTTCGATGTGGAATCTCCGCTGGTACAAAAGCTGCTGGTCAATTCCTCCTCTTACCAGTTGAACCTCCGAGCTCCAATCTCGCAAAAAAAACTCTATATCTTCTATCCCCAATTCCAGTGGATTCCGAGTGAATTCACAGAGGATTGTGTTGATCTCAAAGCAATTCCTAAAATCGAAGCCGATAATCGGCTTCGATTTTAGGGATTGTCGAGAATAATTCTCGGATTCATTTCCCTCTACGAGCTCAGAACTGATTCCTAATCTCGGGATTAGCTAGATCTTTCTAATCTCGAGATCGGTTCGTCGAACAACTCGAAGAAGATTCATCCGTACGGGGTATGTCATACCCGGTATGACTACTGTGGGGATGTTCATCGAGAATTCTGTTCAGCTGGAAGATGAAAGACTGCATCGACGTGCTCGAGAAGAGGAGCTCGAAACATTAAGAGCTACAGTGACCGCTATAGAGACAGAAAACGCCCAGCTCAAATGTCGACTTGCTAAACGGGTATGCTCTCCCCTGGTTTGGGACCTTCAGCTCGGGTGAAAACGGCCGTAGTCTCATTAGGATTCGTACGGACCCATATACACTACCCCAGTAGTGGCAACGATCGAGGCGATGAAGAGGGATCGACTCGTCATGGACACGCAAATAATGAAGATCGTTGAGCGAGCTCGTGCTCTGGAGCGCGAGAAAGAGGAGTGGTTGGTTGAGAAAGAGCAACTCGAAAAGCATTTGAAAGAACTCGTTGGAAGATGTGAACGAATGGCGGAAAAGCTGGGCGCGAAGGAAATTTTGCGGCTGAAAGTCGCTCATGCTGACGAGACTGTTGCGGACTACAAAATCCGGCTTATGGAAATCGAAGAGGAGAGAAAGGCACTGTGCGAGGAGAACGAGAGCCTTCGACAGGAACTGGTCCGACTCATGTCGAACTTTGCAATTTATTCAGCGCTAAAGGAAGACGTACGTTGTACGCACTGCGAAGAATCCATGATGCAATTCGAAGATTTGCTGGCCCTATTCTATCGACGAGAGCGTGATTTGTTGATGAGGCTTGCATCGCCAGCTCATAGCTTGGGTGTGAGGGAAAGGATTCACGATGAGCACCGGGGCCTTCAGCAAGGCAGCACCACTGTTGCAAGCAGTTCAGACAAGAACGCTATGTGCGATCAGTCTGTGCAGCACCAGTCGAGTTTTGCTTGGCAAAAGCCCGCAAACGATCAGGTGTCGGGGCTGAATGAACGGGTATCAATGCTCGAAGCGGAGAATGAGGAGCTCAAGGCTGGTCGTCGATCATCAGAGAGCATAGTTGAACGACTAAAACTCGATCTAGTAGGCGCCCGAGATCTTAGCGCTGACTTGAACAACCAATTACTTGATTTTGCGCGGCCATCATCCATCATCGAAAGCGAAAGCCCACTATCACAGGTGAGCCCTTCAGACATGTACTCGTAGTAATGCGATATCTAGACGGCGTCTTCACCGTGCGTGAGAGAGTACGGTCGTTCGCCGACCGAGAGTGATATACATAGTGGATTCACTCCCCTTACGCCGAGACGTTCGCGGAGACGACGGAGTAGTTGATTCGTGGAAATGTGCCTTTCGCGGCTAATTTCGTTGAAGGTTCTTCCAGCGGCATTTACGGTTTCTTGGCGAGAGCTACAGGGCACACCCCTGATCGCGACTCCGCGACTAAGAAGATCCATGAGCTTCAGCGGATTGCACAAGAACTCACTATGCACGTGAGTGCATCAGCACTTCGAAGTGGAATTCACTTTCACTCTCACAGGTCGAAGAAAAAGAAGAGACAATTTTCCATTTGCGGAGATTGTTGTCCGAGCATAAAGACTTTCTGGTGTCCGAGACTTCCCCTACTTCGGCTATGCCCCCCAGTGAATGTTCTGATACTATATAGTATCTATCACGACTCATTCGATAGGTTTGAGTTTGTCAACTTAAGTCCGCTGATAGCGCTAACCGAACTACGAGTGTGATGCACTACAACACTCTTTTCCGGATTACTGGTATGGTTGAACGAAATAATCGTTGGCGGACTTTTGGTACGACGCACTACAATAAATCTCTTGGGGTTGGAATGTAGAATTAACTAATAGTACATGATGATTGTTTCAAACAACCATCATCGGCCATCCATCGACAATCATCGTTTCATTACAAACAATTTGTTTGTAATGGGAGACGACTAAGAACGGGCTCCGTGAGCACCATTCTCTCAGTGGAGGGAGACTCGGGATACGCAGAGACGCTCTCGAAAAGCGACCTGTTCTAGCGCGATAATGCTACAAAAAGATCGCCGGCAAGAATATCTTCCGTACATTTTCCAACTGCAATACCAAAGATGACCTTTCAAAAATGACCTTTGAAAGGTGACCTGCCAGAGATAATGATGGTGATTGTGACTTTCCTCACGACCAGTAAATTGATAAACCCAGTATTAGAGACCTGAACGACATAACTCTCTCGACCGTTTATGCTTTATGTAGTAGTTCACTTCAAGCATTGGAATTGCTGGGATGTTGTCAGTGTTCGCTGGCAAAAACCAGATCTTAGTTCTCACGATGGGATGGTGAGTGTTCACCAAGTACAGATCGTCGAATACGGGCACCACCACTGTGGTGGCACCACTATGATACCCTGGCCCAGAGAAATTTGCGAGTTCAGCTCCAGTGCGAGTCCTGTATATCGCGCGCTGAGTATCATAACGGAACATCATGAGATGCCTGGCTCGCTGGAAAGACATAGCATGAGATAAATAAGAGCAACATGGAACTTGCGCGACCTTTGACTCGAACTTTCGTATTTGCGTATACTACACGGATTGAGAAACAACAAATGATACCTCCTGCTTTATACGAATCTTCCCTACACCGTGCGCACGCCTAGCAGCATGCAACGTTCTGTGCCGTCGATAATCTTCGAGGCGGGCCCGTCCATTCTTTTTCAAGTAAGTTATGCAACGTCACTCTTTCGAACTCTCCCACACCGTGTGGGCCACACGGTTATGTCGTCGCGACAGTGCCGTGGGACCCATGCCCATGGAAATGTTGAGCACATTCACTGCTGCTACTCGAGGTGACCGAGGCAGACGTCGAAACTTCGTTCGCGCACCAATTTATGCCCGCAGCTTAAAACCATTTTTGTTCGAATTTCGTCTTCGCCTAGTAGTAGCGTCTATGACTATAAAATTTGCAAATATACCCTCCATTGCATATACCTGGATTAAGCTATACAACCTGAATAGACCTCGCTACGTGCTTTGTCTCCAGAAATGAAGTTATAGCTTATCCAGGTCACGGTTTCTGTTGATGTTATGTATCCTCATCATAACTCAGCTCACCAACTGATTGTTCATATACCACTTACTTCAACATTCACTCCTTATTCGCAATTCTGTCTCCAATATACGCTTGGTTAGTTCAACACGTCTTGTATTACATTACTTTTCACAGGAAGTGACCTCATATTTATTATACTACAACACAGCGCCTTCTATCATTATATGACTACTAACATTCAACGGTCAAAATGATAACTTAGAGATGACACAATGGTCATCTCGAGATCAAAGGTGTTTCAACTACGAATAATTCAATATCGATACTAACAGACAAGGCCATGAAGACCCGTCTGTGCACAGAACGTGAAGATGAGAGACGATGTTTGTCCTCCGTAAACTTCACATGAATAGAAAATCGACCAGGAATGAAAAGTAGCTGCATCTTTTTATTGCAGTAAAATGCTAAATGATGAAACTACTTCGAGTAGCTGCATCATTTAATAATCATAACCGGCTGCCATCGAGATTAGTCGTCGCAAGCAATGTCACTTGCGAAAGAGCCAAACTGCGACTCACTTGGCTGAAAAAATCACCAAAATCACATCTATCAACGGAAGCTCGAATCTCTCTTACCGCCGTGTCGACACTTTCGATGTGCCTCGAACGTTTTCCTGTATATAGATTTATCGAAACTGAGATAATCTCGTCATCCGAGGAGACGTCCGATTTCTCAGCAGCAGAATTGAAACATTCGGGAATAACGGTGGGGAGGAGTGTGATATTGTCGATGATGAAATCCACTCCTGGAAACGGACCTAGGATGAGCGTCACCACGACGACAAGGAAAGAATTTTGTTCCACGACTTACCTTGCAACGTGCCATTTGGATTGACCAGAACTGTGCACCATCCAACCTGCTTGGCCGCCTCCAAATTTGCAGGGGAGTCGTCCACCAAAATGCAAGTCGATGGGTCAGTAACGTCAGCGATCTCCATAGCAATGCCTGAGAAAAACAGCAGTGTCAACTTCATCAGCTTTTCGGTAGTGTCCCCTATTGTTTAATTCGATATCAATAGAAACACTTCAGCATGCACAATTCTATTCAAGCCTACTACTATCAAGCCTATGTCTAAAGTTCAGTGCCTGGTGCACTCATATCACCTCTCCGGATCTCTCACTCTCTTCCCAAGGTTCACGAGATCCGAGCGTTTGGTAGATGTGCATATTAATAAGAATATCACTTCTAGTGCATCTGCTTGAGACCGTCCAGCCAATTGGCGAAGGAAGTCAGCATACTACGTGAAGCCGCACTGATACTCTCTTCACTACTATTATCATCACAGGAATACGAGCGAGGATGCTCAAACATCGAGTCGGTATTATCGACTTGCGATTATCTCTCAAGACTTCTGTTCCCTATCGAAAGGCTTACGATAACAAGTGGCATTCCTTTTCGTCTCGAAGTTGCACATTGCAGTATCAATAACATTCGGGAGGAGATCATCGATGCCCAGATATTCGAGACATCGTGAACAGTGTTGCATTGGCCCGACTGTGAGAACCCATGTGGAGACATCTGAACAACGCGCTAGTGTGAGTACCGAAGCTAGTCACGTTAGAAAAGTAATATAAATTCTATAGTATTCGAGAGGCATAACTAAATCAGTGAAAAGTGAATACAAATTATTTCATACGGGGAACTCTATCGCCACGCGATTTCTGCAGGAAACTTTCGATTTGCTGGTAGTACTATGAATGTACATATTTTCCAACTGAATATACATAATAACCAAGTGTTACAGGATTTACTATAATGATGCTACGAGATAGTGTAATCTGTATTGTGCATCCACACACAACACTAGCAATGTTATCTTCACACTTGCACGCATACACAACCTCTCTTCTCTACTTTTCGTTGCCCTTTTTTACATTGGAATTTTTAACAGATATAGGACAGCCTCAAAAGCTATGAAATAAAATTAAGCTATTTAGCAGTGTTTCCCAAGGTCTCGGGTGAATATCAATCCTACGCCTATCAATGGGAGGCTACGAAAGAGTAGATTGGAGAGTTCACGCAGAGTAGGAGCTGATTATACTACACTCACTAATATACTA